TTCGTGCAAAGTAAAGCGTACATTTCCCCCCCCCCCCCCCCGGCATGCTCCTGTTCTTGCTGCAGTATCCTCGTTTGAGCGGGAGTCTGCCGACGTGCCGCCCAACACGTTCCGGTCCGGAGCCGCCGACATCCATGATGCACACAGACCTGCCCCCGGGAAGGCTGGTTTGTCGGAAGCCCCCGATCGGATCGGCATTTCATTAGTGGGGACTTCGCGACTTGCCGGCCTCTCCCGGCCAATGGCGACGCCCGAGCCCAGGGGGCGCCCTGCATAATCACACGGCGATCGCGAGGAGGCATATGACAGCCAGGTGATCAGCCCAGGCACATGTTACGGTCGCTGATGCGCCAGCGTCGGGCTGCCCCCCTTTGCAGGTGCCCCGCGGCCACTCCCGGACCGATGTCTCCCTCTTGGACCATAGGGGGTCTCGTCCAAAGAGAGAGAGAGAGAGAGAGGGGGGGGGGCGACAATCCAAGCAAATGCCCTGCACGTTGAAAAGGAGAGTCGTCATGGAGAAAGATCCCCCCCCCCCCCCTGTCTTGGGCCCAGATCCACCTTTAGACGCTGGCAGGCGGCCGCCGGGGGCCGGGGACTGGAGACACAGGACCGCACTCCGGGCTTTTCTTGCCTCGGTAAAATATAGAACAGCGGCCAGGTCCGCCTGGGCACGGCGTCCCGCCTTCCGTACTCCTCTCCCACACCCTACTCCCCCGACTCGCGCGCCCCCTTGCCCCCTTTCTCTGCCAGCCCCCGCCCCTTGTTCCTCTGCTCTTTCCTCCCACAGATTGCCACCATGGGTTCATACATCTCCCGACTGTCGGATTCGGCCGCACAGAGCATGGCCGACAGGCAGCGTGCTGTGATGGCCGAGCAGCGCGCACACATGGAGCGGCAAATCCGTCGTCAGATTGCCTCGCGCATTGCCCAGACCCGGGAGATGATGCACTGGCAGGGTGGCTTTTGGCGTACGTCCGCCTCCTCTCCCTCCATGCCTGTCTCCTGATTGCCAGCCTCGGCCGGGCGGCCCGCTTGCTGCATGCCCTCTGACACTCTCACGCCCATGCCCGCCCCCCCCCCCCCCGCAGTTCTTCTGGCTAGTGGTGTGACCATTGCTCGCATCCGCCTTGGCTATGTCCCGAAGCCGCTCCTTGCGCCGCTCTTTGTCATGCCCTTCATGATGGCCTACCAGTACGACATGGCGTACGGGACCAAGCTCGATCGAATCCGCGATGAGGCCGACCGAATCCTCGTACGTCCTCCACGCCTCGCCCCGGGCCGAGATTCGAGGGCGTGTCTCGGCCCTGCCCCTCGCAGCCCCTCTCTTCCCCCACTCGCTGCCCTCCTAACCGGCGGTGTCTCTTTCCCCCGGTGTTCGACGGGGACCTATTTGCTCGTGGAATTCAGGCGGGCGACGATTTCTGGATCTCCGATCATGCGCCCGAGCGGGTGTACCACTCGCTTCTGCCGTGGGCCAAGCCGCTTGTGCTCCTCCCCCCTGGCGAGTCGCACCAGCAGATGGGGCAACTGCAGCCGGTCGCCGAGCAGCCGCACCAGCCGCAGCAGCAGTAGAGCAGCGGGGCAAATGGCAGTCCATGTGTTTGATGCGCCCCCCTTCCTCCCTCCTTCCATCTCTCTTTCTTTGTCTCCCTCTGCGCTTCCCTCCCCGCGGTCTGAGCCTCTTCGTGCCTTGCTCAATACAAACCCTCAATTCCGAAGGACGGCATGCTGGAATTCACTTCTTGAACAACAAGGGGATGAGGTGGGGGGCGGAGGGACCCCCAGAAGCAGGGGACGCGAGAGCCGGCGGCGAAGCCGGATGCGACTGTCCCCTCGGGGCGGCCAGCTGCCGGCACAAATGTCCCAGCTTGGGGGGGGGGGGGGGGGGGGGCGGGGGATGGATCGCGGGGAGTGGGGGAGGTTGAGGGAAGGCTTCTTGTCAGTGTCTTGTGGGAGTCGGGCCTGGTGGCTAGAGAGGGACGGGGGTCTCCGGTCAGACTCGCCTTTTGGTCGTCATTGCGGCTGCCTTCTCGAGGGCGAGGGCAGGATGCTCGCGCGGGGCGACGGTTCGACCTGGTCATCAGCAAGCCGCCAAGGGGCCAGCCCGACCACCTGGGTCAGGGCCGGCCCACACACACGCTGGCCAAGGATGAATGGGCAAGACCATCGCCACACACGAGGACCAAGCCTCTGCCCCTAGGCGGCGCTCTTCCGCGCGTGAAGCACCGGTCGATGCACCACGCGCGTCCGACTACCAGAACAGTCATCACGCGGAGGGGTTGGAAGAGGGAGGCAGGAGGGGAAAGTGGGAAGGGGAAGTGGGAAGGAAGGAGACGAAGACAGGAAGGGGAAGTGGGAAGAAAGGAGAGGAAGGCAGGAGGGAGAGGAAGGCAGCAAGGAGGGAGGGGGGGAGGGAGGGAGGGAGCAAAGAGAAAGCCAAAGCGAGACGGCCGTACCCGAGAAGGAGGGAGACAGAGAGGAGAGGCGACCGCGCCGCGTGCGCGGCCAACTAGTGTGGCGACGGAGGCCGGCTCCCACGCCGGCGACAGTTGCGGAAAAATCCCAAGCCGAAAATTGCTGGGCGCTGATCACGGTATCGGATGTCGATTAAAGAGCCCCTTCATTCCACCCTTTTTTCCAGCCCTCCGCCTGCAAGTAACCCAGCAAGGCCTGTTTCGCCGCAGGGAGAAAGGCCCTGCGCGGGGGGGGGGGGGGCTCAGGCGCCCCCGAGGGAAGGAGGTCGAGAATGTGGGTCTCGGCCGTTCCCGCGAGTGCAGCCAATCCCCAGCATTGAGATGGCCCGGCTATTGCCGTGTTCAGACATCACCCCCCCTCCGACGCGCGCACACACACACACACACACACACTCATGCACCGATGCACACATGCAGAGAGCCCCTCGACCGGCCGCGGATGGTGTTGACCCCTGGTGCGAAGTGCATGCGGGCCTGGGGGCTTGTGCCTGCACAGGCGCATGGACCTGACTCGGTCGAATCCTGCGCGTGGCATTCAAGATCGACCCGGCCGGCGCTCGCGTCTCTCGGGCCCGGCCAACCAAACCCGCTCCTCTCCCTCTCGCTCTTTTTCTCTTCCTTCCTCTCCCCCCCCCCCCCGCTCCGCGTCCCGGCCACAGCCCGCTTCCCGGGGGACCCTCCGTTTGGCAGCCTCCTCCTGCTGCTGCTCCTCCTCCTCGCTACTTGACCCCCCCTCGTGACTCGGGTGCAGATCGCGGTCAGTGGCGGCTCCGAGCCCCTTGCCCCTCCCCCTCCCCCGCCTTCCCTCCCTCGCAGGCCGTCTGCCCTCGCTACCCCTCCTCTCGACCTTTTCAGCATGGCCGATGGCCCCCGGGCCCCATCGCCGGATCCCACGCGGCGGGCTCCTTGCCAGTTGGGCCAACCAACGCCCCACACGGGACAACCCTCGCGGCCGACCCCAAGCGCCGGAGCTATATCGCGGCTTCTGCCTCGGCGGCCCCCTTCTGGCCGCCGACGCAGCCGAATGTCGGACGCTCGCGCCGGCCCAAGGCCAACCGGGACGGGGCCAATCGGGACAATGAGGACGATGATGATGACGAGGACGATGAGGACGATGAGGACGATGATGATGACACCCACGTCAATGGCAGTAACTCGGTGGAGTCGCTTCCCTTTGTCGGAGGCTCGGGCGCCGAGGACTCCCTCGGTGGCCCGGGCAATCCGACAGCCCGACGCGGCTCCATCCAGGCGGCGGACGCGCTGCTGCTCGGGCCGCGTCCAACGTATCGCCGGCTGCCGGAGGAGCCCCTGCAAATGGACTCGCTGTTTCCGTCCATGCGATCGCCACCGGCGCCGGTGGCCGGTCGCGAGGACCTCGGAACCCGGCGATCGGTCAGCTTGGCCGGCAGTCCGGCTCTCGGGCCGCAGCATCCCTCCACCGGCCCGCCGGCTCCTTCAGACCCGCGCTTCCAGCACTACTTCAGCCAGACGCCGGAGCAGCAGCGCGCCATGCTGGCCGCCGCCTCGTCGGTGGTAGCATGCAACGAAACGGACCCGGCGCTTCCGAGTGATCCGATGGTGCTGCTCGGGCAGCACCGCGAGCAGCAGGCCCTCATCCAGCAGGCACGCATCCGTCGTGCGGCCACGGTCCGGGGCCCCCCTTCCTCCGGGGCAACGGGCAACATGTGGCCCGGAGGGTCGCTTGCCAGTCCGACGGCTCCGGGCACCGCCGGCCCCCCGGGCGAGCGCGGTCCCCTGGCCGACCATCCGGATGCCGATCGTGTCCCGGCCGGCGGGCCCGGGGCGGCCGGCCCCGGCCCCGGCATCCTGCCCCACTCTCCGTCTGTGGATAGCAACCTGTCGGCATCGGCCAGCACCAAGGGCGGGTCGACGGCCGCCCTGTCTGGCGCCGCCGGCTCGGGGCACATGTCGCGCTTGCTTCACAGTCGGTCGACGTCCGGCGCCTCGCCCGGGCGCCATGGCGATGCCACCGGCGCCCAGCACCCGGACACCGGCAGTGCTGGCGCCGGGCCGCCCCATGCGGTCGACGCCCTGTCCACTGGCGGGGAGCCCTCCTGGCCCAGGGGCCTGGCATCGGGACCGAATTTCCCGTGGCACGAGCTGGTGGATCTGGTGCAGACCCATCGTGGCGCGTTGGACCTCTCCTCCAATGCGCTGGTCGAGCTGCCGCACATCATCGGCAAGATGACCGCCCTGAAGGATCTATTCCTCGGGGACAACCTGCTGCAGGATCTTCCCCGGTCGGCCGACCGGCTGACCCGGCTCCGGCGCGTGGAATTGAACAACAACCGGGTGCGTTGAGGGGGAAGGGGCGGGGCGCGTCCAGGTGGACTCCAGAGCGTGTTTCCCTCGGGCACCCGATGCGGGCAGGGCGTGCCCGTTCGCCCTGGGCCCGTGGCTTTTCTTTCCCCCTCTGACTCTCCCCCCCCCCCTGCTGCTGCTGCTGCTGCTGCTGCTGCTGCTGCTGCTGCTGCTGTTCCTGCTGCTCGTGGCGCAATAGCTGAAGGACCTGCCGGTCGGCCTACGCCGGCTGACACAGCTTCGCCGCCTCAACCTCGGCGACAACTTCATCCAGTCCCTGACCCACGAGATCAACCGCCTCACCTCGCTGGAGGAGCTGTATCTCTACAATAACTTCATGGTGCATCTCCCCCCGACGTTGGCTCGGCTCGAGTGCTTGACCATCCTGTCGGTGGTCAACAATGCCCTGGCCGACCTGCCGCCCGACTTTGGCCAGTACATGCCGCACCTGAATCAGCTGTACCTGGCCTCCAACCAGCTGAAGCAGCTCCCCTCATCGATTGGCTCGTGCAAGTCCCTGATCGTGCTTCGGGCCGAGAACAACAAGATTGAGTCCATCCCCCCGGAATTCGTCAACCTGCACAACATGATTCACATGAGCTTCGCCAACAACCTCATCTCCATCGTGCCGCCGATCTTCGAGCAGTGCGTCTTGCTGACATTCCTGGACATGCCCCTTTCCTCTCCCCTTTTTGTGTGCCCCCGCTGGGCCCGCTGTCAGTGGGGGGGCGGGGGAGCCTCCCTTTTTTTTTTTTTTTTTCCCGGCTGGCCGATCGCCCCTCTGACCTGATGAAAATACCCCCCCACAACGATTGCCCTTCCTCCCGGTCCCCAACAGCATGGCCCGTCTGACGACCCTTGAGCTTCAGGACAATGACATCGTCTCCCTGCCGCAGAACATGTTCCTCGGCATGCCGCGCCTGGAGCGCCTGTGCCTGAATAACAACGTCCTGAAGAGTGCGCACCGACCAGCCGCCCTGCACCGCCCTTTCCTCTGCATCGTCTGACCCGACTTCCCCCTTTCCCTCTCCCTCTCTCCACGAGCACAGAGCTTCCCGACCAGTGGGCCTACATGCCGTCCTTGACCTACCTAAACCTCGGGTTTAACAACATCAGCGAGATCCACGACTCCCTGCCCTCGCGCTTCCCAAATCTCATTTGTACGCCATGGCCTCGGTTTCGTGTGCTCCTCTGTTCCCTTCCCTCCTCTCCGGCTCTCCCTCACCCCCACCCCGCGCCAACACTAACTCTGTCAACCGCTCTCGGGGCGATAGATCTCAAGCTCAGTGGAAATCGCATCCAAAAAATCCCCCTAACTTTCCGGCGGCTGCAGCGCCTCCGGTCTCTTCACCTCTCGACCAACCTGCTCAAGGTACATGGGGCATTGCTGGCCGATTCCCCTGCCCCTGCCTGGTCGCTGACACCGAGACAACTCCCTGCTTTTCTCTTTCTCTCTCTCTCTCTCTCTCTTCCCCACCCATCTTTCCTCCCCGACTGCCGCCTGCCGCGCCAGACCATCCCCATCCGTATGATGAAGTCCATGGCCCGGTCGCTGCAGATTCTGGATCTCTCCGGGAACTACCTGCAAAACTCCTGCTTCAACGCCCTCAAGCACCTGGAGGTGGTGGTCCGGCTGGATTTGAGCTACAACTGCATCAGCGAGATCAAGCAGCCGCTGGCGCCGACGCTGACGCACCTGTTCCTCATCAGCAACAGCATCACCAAGATCCACCCGGCGGTGCTGCTTGCCCATGCGGAAAACCTGGTCACTCTCGCGCTCCAGGGCAACCGCTTGCATACCATCCCCCAGGAAATCGGTCAGATGCGCCAAATGAAGCTCCTCCGCCTGGCCAACAACCCCCTGCGCGAGATCCCGGCCTCCATCACCAACCTCTCGGCCCTGGACAATTGCCTGGTGGACCTGGGCGCCAACAGCGCCTCCATTCCGATCAACTACGTGCGAGCCCTTCGCCCATGCTTTTCTTTGTCCATTTCTTGGTCGCTGCTTTTCTCCACCGCCCCCCCCCCCTCCCCTTTTCTTTGGGCACCTTCTCTCCTCCGCCTTTTTTCCTGTGCCGCCCTCCCTCTCCCTGAGGTCCCCTCGAAGCTGACCCCTCCTTCCTTCCGACAGGACTACACCCTGTCACCCGCACGACATGAGATCGAGTCGCTCAATTGCCTGCCGACCATGCACGCCTGTCATCTGACCATGTACTTGACGCAGGAGATCCAGGTCCTTCAGCGTCTGCGTTCCTTGATCGACCAGCGTGCCGAGCTGCTGGTATGTCATGATGTCCCTCCATCGGCGCTCCTGGCTTGATGTGCCTTTAGAAGGGGGGGGGGCGGGGCGGGGGGAGGGGGAGAGACAGCTGAGGCCTTGCTGCGCTCATGTCCCAGGTCGCTGACATGCCACGGCCCATCGCGCTGGCCAAAGCACCAAACCTTCCACGAGCACTTCGACGACTTGACCCAGTGCACCTTCGAACCGCCGTTGTCCATGTCCATGCAGTTTTCCTCCGAGATCCCGCTCACCGGATCGCTGCTGCACACGCTGGATGCCGGCCATGGGCTTGGCCACGCTCCGGCGCCCGGTTTGGCGGCTCCGCATCTGGCGGACCCCGGGGTGCCGGTCATCCATTCGCCGATGGCGGCACTGTCACTGGCAAGTGGCGGGTCCTCCCCGCAGTTTGGTGCCACCATTCCCGGCGCCGGGGGCGCCGCATCGAGTGGCCTTCACATGCAGCATGCCACCCCGGCACCAGCCCCGGCCCCGGCCATGACTCCTTCGCCTTCGGGACTGACCGTGCCGGGCAGCGTGGCGGCCGTTGCGGCGGCGGCCGCCGCCGCCTTCGTGCCAGGACACCGGCGCCAGGCGAGCTCGCTGAGCATCGCACGCGGGGTATCGCCGGCCGGTGTGTCGCGCATGTCCGTCTCTCATGGGCCTCCCCCTGGTCCGGCGGCGTCGACCCCGCGCACCAGCAATGCCTCCATACCGGCTGGAGTCGCTTCACACACCTTCTCGACCAATCCCCTGATCCAGTCCTACGGAAACCACATGGAGCAGCTTGCGGTGCGTGTCTTCCCCTTGTGCCTTCTCTTCTGTTTTCTTTTCCTTCGTTCTTGAACAGTCCTTTTTTTTGTCGCCCCTTCCCCATCCTCCCTGGCGGCCCACTGACCTGCCTTTTTCATATACACGCACACACACACACACACATCCCCTCCAGCAATTGGTTGACGTTATGCGCAGTGTGTCCAGTCTCGGGCCACTGGCTCGGCCTGTCGGCTCATCAACACCAGTTGGCGACTTGCCGCCACCGGGCCCCAGCCCAGTTGCGCACCCTTCACAGGTGTCTCACTCGGGAGATGCCGCCCCTGGCATCGGCGATGCCGGACGCGCCGACAGTCGGACCTCCCTCGGCGAGAGCGCCGCGTCTGGATCGCTGACCACTGCCAGCCCTCCGGGACCTGGCATGGGTGTGGGGCTCCCTCGCTTGTCGATCTCGCCGCCGGCTGGCGAATATGCCGGTGCGCCGGGGCCCGACTCGGCCACCGAGCAGCGGCCCCCCTCCGGCGGGCCATACGACGGTGGCGCCCCGGGTGGCTATTCCCACCATGGCTCCGGGTATCCCTCCTTGAAGCCCAACTCCCACGCCGGCGCCGGGGCCGGTGTCCTGGCCGGGCAGCCCTACACCACGTCGGCCATCTTGGAGGGGATAAGCAACTCCTACGCGCGGCCCGATGCCGGGGTGCCGGCCAGCGCCATGACGCCCAGCAGGAAGCGCACCAGCGGCCCTGGAGGGACCCCGTCTGCCGCGCCGAAACAGCACCAGCGCCTGCGCACCCCCGGCGACAATGGATCGTACGTTCGAAGGTGGCATGTGCCCGTGTGTCCGCCTCCTGCCTGCCCCCCTGGCCCCGAGCGCCTGGCCTGCTTCGTTTGCTGCCCTGTCCACTCCCCTGATGCACCCCTGTCGCTGACCACTGCACCACCTCGACACGCCTCCATCGCAGCATGCGGTCGCGCAGCACCTCGCACATCCGGGAGTCCTGGCAGCTGATGACCGGCACACCGCGAAGGTTCGTCCTCTGCCAATGGGCCCCGGGCAGGGGCCCCCCGCTCCCTTCACTATGTCTCCTCCTGTCTCTCCCCCCTCCCCTCCCCTCCCCTCTCCTCCCCTGCTGCTTCTGACCGTACGTGCTCTGCCCAAACTGACCAACCGCCGCCGGGATCGCTTTTTTTTTTAGTCGGCGCGACCGTGCCGGCTCGCAGCCCGCCGACCTTGCCCACATGTTCCAAGAACAGAGCCGGTGATGGTTGCTTCCCCTTGTCTTGCACGAAGCCCGGCCCCAGTTCTCGGGCCAGGTCTGGTGCTGCCATTTGGTTCTGCACGCGGGGAAAATGCAATTTGTCCCCCCTTCGCACATGCCACCGCACATGCGGCGCTTCCCCCCCCCCTCTGTCCACACGGCTGTCGGTTTGTTTGTCTTCTCCCCCTGGCCATACACGCGCGCACAATACACAAACACACATGCACACGCACACATGCATGTACACAGACACACACAGACACACACAGACACACACACACACACACGCCCAGGCACAAGTGCGGGGAGCGGGCGCGAGTGGTCAAGATGGCCGGGAGACGAGCCGCGGGACCGTTGGCACGGCCTTGACAGGGGTTCGGCCCTCGCATTACAGGGGCTCTCGTTCCTGGCAAAGTAGCGTGAGAAGACTGGAGTGCTCCTGCCGACGGACCCGCTGCCCCTGCCGATTCCAATGAACAGGCCCATTGGGCCGGCGCCCGTGTGTGTGCCCGTGTCCTGCGCCCGACCTCCGCTCCTCCTCTTGCGCGCGCGCGCGCGCGCGCGCGCGCGCGCGCGGCAGCATGCCCCTCTGTCCCCAGGACACCGGCCGACTTGCAGGGCGGCCTGTCCCCGAGTGGCTGGGGGAGGGCATTCCACTTCTTTATTGTCTGCCCTTCTCCCTGAGCCCTTCCCCTGATCCCTGGGCCTGCCCTCTCTCAGGGGGCGCGCAGGTGCCCGCGCGTAAATCGCGCGTACCTGAGAGTGGCCCAAGGTGGAAGGCGTGTCACATTCCCAAGACGCACTTTGGGGGTCGGTGGAGGACGGGAATACGGGGTGAGCGGGGGGAAGTGCCCAGGATTGACCGACAAGAAAGGGGCCGCGGCCCAGGTCCACAGACTGTCCTCCAGTCCGGCTGCATGGCGGGGGGAGGCCGAAGGCTCGGCATTGGGGGCTCGCCGTCAAGGCGGCGCCCACGCCCCCTTCTGAGGCTGGGGAGGGGGGGGG